TACATGTTGTAGCGGGTTGGGGAGTCGCTGCTGTTCTGGTACGTCACTGCTGTTCTGTTGTACGGGTACTGTTGAAGGCCCATAACATCCTTGTAGCGTGGTGGATGAAAATTTTTGTACGGCCCGCGGTGTCTACGGACACCTACATACACGCTCTAAGTAGCGTGGTGGGGAAAGGCCCAGCTCCCAATTTTCCCCCAATGGGGGATATGCCGGGGTGAAGCCGAAATTTTCACTGAAATGTACGAAGACTTGAACAATAAGAAGACCTTCTTGGGCAACAATATAGAGACTTGTACTCGAACAGAAATGCACAGAACTCGAACTAAAAGTGCAGAGGACTTGTATTGGAATAGAAATGCATAGAACTTGAACTAAAATGAGCAGAGGACCTGTACGATGAACAGTGGACTTGTGGACTAAAACTCTAAGTGATTTCTAAAGATCAACACAAATGGAATGAATCAAAATTGGATCAAAACTCATCAAAGAACTCAAATCAAATATTTGACTGCAAGGAAATAAATCTATTCGGACTCAAGCCAAAACAATGTGACAGGTTTGTGCCAGGAACTGCAAATCCAAACATTACTTGGGCATCAGGACTTGAGTCAGGACCTGAATGCCCGTCGCATTCAGTACGGTCCTCTACAAATGGCTACAACAACCACCTGAGATTGGTGAAAGGTGGTTTCAATGACAAAAGCAAGGGTTTTCTACGAATACTCCTACGAGCTCGTAGTGGCTACAACCGGTGTCCTTCCTACATATACTGTTGGAATCTCCTACGATAATTTCCTACAACGCCTGTTGATTGAGGTGGCGATACGGAAGACCAAATGACGGAGAATCTGCCTCCTCTACAAACAAATGCAACCCAACAACAACCACCTGAGATTGGCGACAGGTGGGCATGATGTAGGCAATAATGGGTCTCCTACGAACATTCCTAGGAGCTCGTAGCAAACACAACGGATCCTTACAAACAAATACGAACCGCTTGTGGATAACAACAGTGGGTATATCGTAAGCACAACGAACCACTGTGGGCACAAGTATTGATATCACCTACGACATTGGCGGTCAAGATCTTCAAGCATGCCGGGTACAAATGCAGCCGATGTACAAAAAGGACCCCCCCTGGCAAGAGAAAAGGAAATGTTTGAACAAAATTATAACCAAACTTCCTGGCGTTCCCAAGCCTCTTCTTAGTCCTATATTTAAGAAGAAAATTGTTCTGGTGTCTACAAACACCGAAAATAACGAGTCCGCAACACCAAAGATCCTAAAAGGAGTTCTTTCCAAAATCAGCATCATTGACTCCTAAAATCAGAAAAGATCCTTCCCCGGTGAATGAGAAGGGGGAGTCAATATCAGAATCCAACGCCACGGATCTGCAACACTTATGAAAGCAGACAAAAGGCGTGTATAAGCTTTTCAAGGAAATGCTGTGCATTCAAATGACAAATACATGCACAACTACAAATATTTCAAAATACCCCTACACGTGCACTAGAGAATGTATACACATAGATACACTAAAGGGGATATATAAAAAAAATCACCCGCATGGGCCCCGGCGAGCGTGTTATGGTACACACGTGACGCCTAAGGGATGCTGCGCGGTCGATAAGTGAAATTCTAGTTCGAACCCGATCCTTCTATATCGGATCAATAGAAGTCGACAGGGTTTCGAACCTTTAAAAATACAACGGCTGTGGAAATCAGTGTATTTGTTTCAACACATTCGTATTAGGCATGCTAAGCCTACAATCAAAAGAATTCACTGAACAAAAAGCACAGAAGCCTGCGAAACCCGATCCTCCTAAGCATGTAAATGGGAGCAGCAGACAGGGTTCAAACAATTGGATAAATATGTGGTCACGAGGTCGACCAGAATATTTATCTAATACATTCTTTTTAGGCCTTCAAGGCCTAAAATAAAAGAAAGTTCATGAACAAAGGCATGAAGCCTAAAGAACCCGATCCTTCTATACGGATCAAATAGGAGTCGACAGGGTTCGAACTTATCAATAAGATACACGGTTGTAGTGCCGGTGTATTGTTTAAATACATTCTTTTTAGGCCTTCAATGCCTAAAATTAAGAAAATTCATAAACAAAGGCACAAAGCCCTTTGTAAGCTAAGGTGGATTTAAATTTGTCCCCTTAGACAAACATTCAACCCCGGTCTACAAGGTCCCTTGGACGAAGCAACCCATGGCTGCTGACAAGGATCCTTCTGTCAGGTTGGGTCGACTACCTCCTCTGACTAAGTAGACCAGGGACCACGATGGCCCGGGACGACGGAACCATGGGATCTTGATCGGGTCCATCATCCATTCCCCCACCATCCGCTTTAAGTGCTAGATGGTGCAATTTCTATTTTAAATATCAAACCTTTCAAATTTCCAAACTTTCAACTCAAATCCCAAATCCAAATCCAGTTCTCCAAATTCCAAACCTATAGCTGCTACTATATGCCAGATAACACGTATTTCTATACGTATCTGATCGATGACTAGCCTTAATCGAAAGTTCTCTCTCGTAATCGGGAGGGAGGGGTAATTAACTATAGGGGCTTGCGCCTATAGGAAACAGAACTCAGATCATAAAGTCCTCGCAAATGAGGGCGAAATCTCTGGTAGTGTCTTATCTACAAACCCATCTGCCTTCCAAAATTTACCCCGGAACATAGTTCGTTAAAACTCCCTCGCCGAATAAGAAAAGCGAGTGGAGGCCGAGGCCGAATTTTCGGAGCCCACATAAATCTTAAAAAGTTGTTTATTAAAAACATTTCATTCTAATCATATAATCCAATATAAGAATCGTACAATAGGATTAATATAATTAGCCTCAAAACCAATAGGTTGTGTCTTATCTAAAATAGTGCGATCAATTTTTATGAAATGAAATCAAAATCTATAGGTTGTGTTTTTGAATTTGATCTTTGAGTAATTAGTGAGTATAAATTGCACAGAAACAACAAAGCTCAGTGCCGGCACTTGGAATTTGGGCGTTCCAGAAATATGCCAAATACTAGAATGGCTTCAATATCAGCAACTCAAACGATAGTTATTGCAGTTCTATCCACTAGAAGATCTAATACGGATTTGAGATGGACTGCTTTAAGAATCCTAGGCAGTACAATCATGCCCAAAATACACGATTCACAAAGCGACAAGAGGACAATAACAAAACCAGCATTCAAATGTAATTTCCTAAGTTTATATATAATGGAATTTTAAGAAATATGACTGTAACGACTAATGAAAACCTGAGCAATTACAAATTCAAAAGAATTTTCAGACAACCGTTCAACATAAAGCATGAAATAACAATGTGCTCAACATAAGAAAAGTGGGCCTGCATACCTTTTGAATATCCATGCCTCTTGAGCTTACAGCTATAACAAATGGCAAACCACCAATAGTTGATGGAGAAACTTCATGTACCTGCCGACCAGACACACTGCAAGATTCCCGCACTAAAATAAAGATATTGAAAAAAATAGAACCTGTTCAAGGAGATGTAAGGAACCTGAAAAAACTAAAAAGGGAAAAATAGTCAAATGCACCTGCAACATCGTTGGTATGTCTGAGAATATTGTGTCTCCAACACATATAGGTACAGACCCGATAATACAATATAACATGGCTTCCACTCAGCCAATGAATGACCAAAACCCTTTGAAAAACATGGAAGATGCCTGAGAATCAAGTATAATATTACGCAGTCAGCATTGACCAAGTATGGGTATACCTTCCAGACTAAAATTCTAGCATCGGTTGCTAGATCTGCCGGCAGCCAAGGCGCAGCACCAGTTTGGAGATGCCCGCTGCTAATCTCATTGATGTTTTCAGTCGGGCCATAGAATATATTAAGTAATCTCAAAATCCTGCTATATCTTTCTGGTGAAAAATGTATACCAAGGTTTGGCACTTGTACAGAAATCCTCGTGGATGGGTATCTTGCATGGGGTATTTTAATCTTCAACCGAGTAAATAAGGTGTAAACAATACACAAAAGCCGAGATAGACAGTTAGATGTTATATATAATAATTAAAAATATACATATAAAGTAAAAAAAAAAAAAACTAGCTTTCTAAGCATTGATTAATAACAACTTGCATAGTGCCACCATACCAAATCAACTATAACTGACATCCCACACCGATCAAGAAGAGAATAGAACTGGCTATCATTATCTTGTTTTTCCAGTGGAGACATCCGGCTATCAAGTGCAACAGTAACCATGCAGTTCTCACTGTAGTCGCCATCTATAAAGATAGCAGACATATCCCGTCCAGATATATAAAAACGAGAGTAAAGACTTTGCTGGTGGTCATCAAGTTGACCTTCCTACAGTCACATATTAAATATGAGTGAATTAATATATGGTGAGCGAACTTAAAAGTGCCTAAAGATGATTCAATGTTTAATCAATGCATACAAATTTTAAAACTAATTAATATTTTTTATTAAAAGATGCAAACCACAAGTTAAACTCTTTAATAGATGCAACATTATACTTCAATAAAATGCAAAAAAAAAAAAAAAATCAAAACATTTTTTTTATAGAACTTCTATAAAGGGGAAATTTTACTATGCTCCCTCTACTTAGGGGAGCTGGATACATTTGTCCCATAATTTTTATTTTGTCCAAATCTTTGCCAAAAATGTGTCTTTTGACCCTTTTAAGCAGATCATTACAAATGGTTAAATCTTGGAAGAATTGCGTTATTATATCCCATAAATCATAAAGGTTTTGCTTAATTTCCCCTTTCTAGTAATCATCCTTGACTCATCATACTTGGTTCAGTAATATAATATAAACACAATAATATTAAAAAAGATTAAATAATTAAAAAATTTATATTCAAAAAAAAAGAACCAAAATGGTGCCCTAAAAATTTATTTTAATCCCAAACTATAAAAAAGGTTTTGATTTAGTATCTTGACTCCTTAATAAGAAGCTAAAATAGTCACAAACCCAAAAGTGATTGAAATTAAAGCAAAACTTAATAGATATGGCTAAAAATGAGAGTATTTTACGAAATGCATCTTGAAATTTTTACAAAATCAAATTTCCAGCATAACTTATTTACTTATGTAAAGCAGCTAATTTTGTATACACAAGAGTAGATTAAAATTATGCAGGTTGTGCAATATAGTAAGATTACTCTTTATAATAAATAATTTATTTTGAATTTCTTAAACTGAAAAGCTAATTTCAATGAAATAAATTTAATAAAATTATAAGTTTAATATTTTGAAAAGAAAAAATTAAACTCACTGTATTTTGTTAAAATGGAATAAAAAAAGTGTCAAAAGAAAATATTTATTACAAAAAAAAAAATTTAACTCCACAGCCTGCACGATCTTAATTCATTCATGCTATATGCAAAATCAGTTGTTGTATACAAAGAAACGAAGCAGGTAGGAAAATAAATTTTCAAAAAATTTCACGGAGATGCATATTCCTAAAATACTCTCATTTTCAAACCAATTCGATAACTTTAATTTCAATTTCAGCAATTTTTTTATAATGGAACTATTTTGGCTCTTATTTAAGAAATATATACACTAAATTAGACCTTTTGTATAGTCTGATTAAAATGCCACCCACAATTTGTCAAAGATATCTTTTTGGTCATTTTGTCTTATGCAATAATTTCATTTAGGTTATGCCATATTATAAGATAGGGAATAATGACCAAATTGGTTCCCTTAAGTGGTTGCTTACAACTTGAATTTACATATTTGATGAAAAGAATGTTTAAAACACACTTTGTTGGAAATAGAATAAATTGTTGACCTTCATTATGGGAAAAATTGGATAACCAAATGGCTCCAACTGCCTAGAAAAGGTTTAAAATACAATCTACCTATATGAAATCTCGGTAGATTCTTCAAAAAACAAAAATAAACAAATAAAGCTATCCTCTTATTTGGTTTACACTCAAAACTCTGAACCTTGCAAAAAGAATTCTTTATCAGCTTAGAATATGTGGATAAAAGAAGTTACCCTAGTATGCAACGTAAAATGACCAAAATCCAGAAGAAACTGGCTGCTCCAAGCTGAAGATTGGCAGGATCTCATTGGAATTCTGACTTTTGGAGCATCAAAATCAACATCAAGTGAAAACCTGTATTATAAACTTATCAGCAGTTCAGACGGCAATAAGATAGAAAATTTTCTACACACAAAATTCATAATACAAAGAAAATCAGGCAAACAAATATATTGTAGCCACAGATTTAATAAATAGAACTCTGTCGCAATTACAGAAATGAACTTAAAACCTGATGCATCCATGGAAACCAATTGATGCATCCCTCGAAGCCATCAAAGCAAGGAGTTGGAATTTGGGAATCAACTTTAGCATTTGAAATCTATAGGTTAAATTACGTATAGGTCCAGAAGGATTTGACCAAGAAATGATTAAATTCATCAATCTTTCATTTTTCCTAACTCTCAAAATTGATTTTAGTTTTATTTTAGTTCAGTACACAACGGCAAATGCATAAATGGATTGCTAAAAAACCAAATTTCTGGCACCATTAACACACTGACTTTTGATATTTTCCACCAATCACGTAGTTGGTTGCTTGTCATTGTCATTGCCAGCTGATGTTCAACAATCAAACACTTGTTCACAATGTGCCTAACAGGACTAATTACTATATCCTAATCATTTAGCTTATTTATATAATTAATAGTTCATTATTTGTTTGCTTCAAGATAATTTATAGAAAATTATCCTATCAACCTTTTAAAGCATTCATCGATAAATATGCTTAGTTGTAAAAGCCCTTGAATTCTAGATCTAATGCTATGGCAACTTTGAACGAGGAAGATTGAGTACACCTAAGAGAATTGGAAGATACAACTTAGGAGAGTACATCATAGTTTTGACAACTCAATCTCATAGCAATAGGACCTTGAGAGTGATTGAATTAAATGATGTTGATGAATAATGATTTTCATTGGATGGAGGGGACTATATGCCTTAATGATTCTATTAAATTAAGTATTCAGTCTAATTATTGGCTATTGAGCATGATCGTACAAACATTCCATGTGAATGCTAGAATGCTAGTCATGTGCATGATAAGGATGGAACTCGGAAGATAACCAAATCATGTAAGAATATCTGAGTAACCAATCTCAACCAAACTGATCAATTTGGGTCAATACTTAAAATTCTTTGTTCATATCTTGCCCCCAAACAAGTGGACTCATTATAATGGGTTGGTTCTCAAAGAAAATTTGTAAAGGAAATAATATTTAGAAAAAATATATATTAGCAAAATTCAAATGCGCAAATGTAATCTTGATATATTACCATAATTTTTATATTTAAAAGTTTTGAAGTGATACTTCACAATTTTTTTTATGGTTGCTTGCAATTTGCTTAAAACATAAACATCTGCCATAACACATTGCAAGGCTAAGTTGCACCACCAATGATAACTTACGATGGTGAGCTCAATTGCATTAGATGTGTATCCCAATAACATGATAAGTTCTAGATGTTAATGTTCCATCTCTCAAAAAGGGCATTGAAGCCAATGAGAATGTGTGCTTTCATTTAGAGGATAGAAAAACTACTTGATACTGACCATCTGATCAAGATTTATGTATGATCCAAATGATGCAATTAATAGTCATTTTTCCTATATTAGCCATTAATTTCAAGGAAAATTAATTTATTTTATTTTGGTTGTTTGATTGTTTATCTTTAACAAGCACATTTGCATAATTGCACCCAAAAGATTAATTCTACGAGAAGAAAACTATATTTTATTTATGAGGATAGAAAGGCTATTGGTTTACTAGGTATATTGTTGTGCTTTCTCCCTCTTTCTCCCCTACTTGGCTTCCCTCCTCTCACTCTCTCCCCAACCCATCTCTCCTTCCCTTTCCTCCTTAAACTAAATAACCAGTCTATCATATAATGTATCCTACAATCAGATAAATGAAAACGAGATTAATTAGTTTCTCCACCAGTCACCACGCTATGTAAATTTTTTATATCCAAGTAATCATTTGAAAATGAATAGAGGTCAATGGCTCTCTCTTTTGATTCCATCATAATTATTATTTATAACATTTTGAAGAGCCAATGTAACCATCACCACTACCAATATTACAATCATTAACAGCACACACGCTTCCACCACCATCACCACTGAAACAATTATTACCACCACAACATCACTATCAATCTAGCACCACACGATGACCATCATCTTGCCCAAGCCACCCCTAACCACTTCTCAAGTTGTCAGCTCCATTATCCAAACTATATCATATAAATCCTTCTTCAATCTCCTCATTAATAACCACCACGACACTTTCTTTGTCACTACCCGGCCCGGATGCCCGATTTAACGAGGCATGAATGAAAAGTTGGACGGTAGTAACAATTCAATTCGTATCACTAACAATTTTAATATAAAATTTCTCAAAGCAACTGAAGAGCCACTATTATAAAATATTCTATTCAATCTACGGACGGTAGTACCACTTTTGTCAAACTCAACATTTATTCAGTCATAATTTATTTGTTTTCATTGGTGCGACGTCTTCTGTAGACATATTCTTCTCTTTCTGTCATTTCTATTTGATGAGGACATCAGTAGGAGATTTTGATGCGTCTACCATTGGAGGAATCGTCATTTCATTTATTCCTTAATGTTGCCCGCAAACTTTATTCAACTCTCATTCAAATGGATTGGATTGCAACTTAGTCTCTTGTATTTTCAATTTAGTGTGCATTTTAGAACTAAAAAGTCAATTAGGTTCCCTGTGTTCAAAGTTGATTTAAGTCCTTTGTTGTTTAAGTTTTGTTCAAGTCCCATGCATATGTTCAATCAAGTTCAAATTCTGTTCAAAGGTTCATAAGTTCGAGTCAAAGTTCTTTGTCATTAAATGTACAAGTTCAAGTTCTTTACTTCGTTTATTTGAGTTCGAGTTCACAAGTCCTATTATCCTTTGAGTTCGAGTTCACAAGTCCTATTGTACTTTGACTTCAATCAAGTCCAAGTACGATCTTATATTCACCCAAAATTTCGACAGCCTCCAGGCATCTCCCTCATTTAGGGGAAACTACAAGAAACTGGGTCTTCCCACCATTCTAAGAAAAGCGTGTATGGTAGGTGTCTTTAGACACCGCTACCGTAAAATCTTCAATCCCATCATGCTAGAAAAAAGCGTGTATAGGTCTTTGGTACCTGTTTCAAAATAAAAGTAGTTTGCTTTCCCAGCAGGTAGAGAGCCACGTACGGGTACTTAGAATTGTCCTCGCCGTGCTACAAAGAGCATGTATAGGGCCTACTCGCCTCGCCTAATGTGCCGCACCAGGTTCTCTTCCCACCACGCTAGAGAAAAGCATGTACGGATAATTTTTCGACTCGACACGAACACCAAGAATGGGATTTTGAAATGAACAAAAAGAATTTTCTTTCTTTTTCTTCCTTTTCTTTTTTTTTATGATAATAATAACGATATCTTTCTTGTTATTATTAGCACATATTGATAATATTATTAACAATAATATTATCATTAATAATATTGTTAATAATAACAACAATAATTACAACCAGCACAATAATTATTATTATTATTATTATTATTATTATTATTATTATTATGAGGTAATAATAATAATAACATTAGTATTAATATTACAATTATATTATTATTATGTCATTATGAATTCATCCATGAGTAATAGCTTAGGCTGGCTCTGGCTACAGGTAAGGATCGGATGGGTTAAGGCTTCGGCAGAGCAGGTTTTGGCGATGGTTAGGGAGCTGATATAGGGAATGAGATGGAGGGAGAGAGGTGTAAGACTTACGGATCGGAAGCAGCGATAGTTTCCGTCTGTGGGTGCAAATGGAAACAACGACGAACGATGAATTATGTGAGATAAGAATAAGCTAGATAATGAATGGAAACCATAATTAAATTAGTATATGAGATTTTAAACTAGATAACGAATAAACTAATTTTATATTATGTTAAATTATAAATTAGATTTAGGCAAACGATGAATTTATGAGATAAGAATAATTTGTATAGAAAAATAAGAGTATATTTTAATAAAATATAAGAAAATGTAAATGTTAAAGTTTTGAGATCAATTCGTATTATTAAAAAAAATATCTTTTGTATAGCTGTTAAATTTATCAACCTAGAAGTAAGGAGTAAGAGCAAAGCAGGGCAATATCTAAGATCAAGGTGAATACATATTTATATTATTAAAGCAATGATGTTGTTCTCTCTTCAATTAAATGATATGAAAGATAATAATACATGTTTATCAAGTTTTTAGTATTGGCTACATCATGTTTTGTCTTTCTCATATCTTATGATTGATAATTTCGAATCTAATGTAATTAATATATTGTGTTCCACATTATCATACAAAGTGAATGAATATTATAAGAATGAAATGGCTAGATAGATATGCTTGTATATGTATGTTGAATGATGGAGCACATCCCTTTATGATAGTAGCTGGGGACGCAATATAAATGTGCACGAAAATAGAAAAAGATTACCTTAATTGATAATATTTTAGATGATGGCTCATTTGACGGTTGCATTATTTACGAAAAAAGATAAAGATATGATATACGCATAACATTGCTTTTCATGTTTGAAATGCATTTAAATGTAATTACTTTATATTTGGAAATGAGCATGCATATCATTTCAAAGCCCTTGATGCGGACATCGGTACGAAGATTTGGCACATCTATCACAGGAGGCGTCGTAAATCGACGGCTATAATTTAAATCTTCAATTATGATTTATTTTTCTGAATTTTAGTTTTTATTTGATGTATTTCCTGCTTTATCCCTAAGTTAATTTATGTGACTGTTGTGGCCTAAGGGGCAATTTTATATTTTGAGTTTTCTTATGTTGTGGCCTATATATAGGGCCTTAAGCTATTGTAATGATGATGGATGATTGATATTAAAAATTTGAGTTCAACACTTGTGTTCTTGTGAAGAGGACGATAGTGAGATTCCTATGGGAAGGAATCGGAGTTTCACCAGCCGCCGGATGGGTCCGAGCTCGTGACTTGAAGTCCCTGGGAGAAGGGCAAAGCATCACCCGTCAGTCTTTGGAAGA